CATGATCCCAGGGTCCTGGGATCAAGCCCCGCATCGGGCTCCCTGCTCCGCAGGAAGCCTGCTTCTCCCTCTCCCACTCCCCCTGCTTGTGTTCCCTCTCCTGCTGTCAAATAAATAAAATCTTTTTTAAAAGATTTATTTATTTATTTGACAGAGCGTGCAAGCACGGAGGGAGGCGCCAAGGGAGGTGGAGAGAGAGAATCTCAAGCAGACTCCGTGCTGAGTGAGGAGCCCAATGCAGGGCTCAATCTCACAACTTCAAGATCACGACCTGAGCCGAAATCAAGAGTCAGATGCTTAACTGACTAAGCCACCCAGGAGCCCCAAAATTGTGGCTGTACTTTAAACTACGTAAGACTAAACAGCTTAAAAGAAAAAGGTTCTTGGTCTCCACACAAAAATCTCTTATTGACTTAGCTTCACACATTAATATGGAATAAAGCTTTATATATTTCAAAACTATCAGATGTATGTACAGGCTTTCTAGGATGCAGGCAGAGGAACCTCCTTTAAATGTATTTGCTCTACGGTACACGATCCTTCCTTTGATCAAGAACTCATCTGTTTACCTATCCAAATATAAAACCCTTTTTCCTTTAACCTCACTTTTCTGTTTGTCTTCCATCCTTGTTTTATACAAAGCCAGTTCTATTAATATCCAGAATTCTGCCTTCCCAGTGACCTATTCACTGATTTCATTTGGTTTCACAGACCTTTAAAAAATACGGCTATTTTCTGGATGAGTATCAGTCACACGTGAATTTAAATATATATTCCAGTTATCTTAAAAGAGCAAGCTCTTACTTAGAATGGACACTTCCAGGTTTTCACCATTGGTTATGATGTTAAGCTAAGGATTTTCATGTATGGCCTTTATTATTTTGAAGTAATGTCCTTCTGTTCCTACTTTTGAGTGTTTTTTATTCGTGAAAAGGTGTTGAATTTTGTGACATGCTTTTATGGCATCTATTGAGGTGATCATGTGGTTTTTGTCCTTAATGTGAATTATATTGATTGATATTCATATGTTGAACCATTCTTGTATTCCAGGAATCCTGCTTCGTTCTGATTGTGTAATTCTTTTAATGTGCTGTTGGATATGGCTTATTAGTGTTCTTTTTTTTTTTTTTTTTTTAAGGGTTTTTGTATCAGTACTCATCAGGGATTTTGATCTGTAGTTTTCTTTGTAACACCTTTGTCTAATTCTGGTATCAGGATAGTGCTGGCCTCATAGGATGACTTTGGAAGTACTCCCTCAATTTTTTGGAAGAGTTTGAGAAGAACTGTTAATTGTTTAACTGGTAGACTTCTCTAGTGAAGCCATCTGGTCTGGGGCTTTTCTTTGTTGGGAGATTTTTTTATTATTGATTCAGTCTCCTTACTAGTTAACAGGTCTGTTCAGATTTTTAATTTCTTTACAATTCACTCTTGGTAGGTTGCATGTTTCCAGAAATTTATCCATTTCTTCTAGGTTATCCAGTTTGTTGGCATATAATTGTTCATTATAGCCTCTTATGATTCCTTTTTATTTCTGTATCAGTTGTAATGTGTTCTCTTTTCACTTCTGATTTATGTTGAGTCTTCTCTCCTTTTTCTTAGTGTAGCTAATGGTTTGTTGATTTGATCTATTCTCTATTTCATTTCTCTAATTTTTATTATCTCCTTCCTTCTGACAACTTGGGGTTTATTTGGTCCTTTTTCTAGTTCCTTGAGGTGATTTGAGATTTTTTTTTTAAGTAGACTTATTTTTTTAGAGCAGTTTTAGGTTCACAGCAAAATTAAGCACAATGTACAAAGATTTTTGATATGCCTACTCCCCCCACATGCACAGCCCCCTGCATTATCTACTTCTCTTATCAGAGTGGTAACATGTTACAATCGACGAACCTAGATTGACACATCATTATCACCCAAAGTCCATAGTTCACATTAGGGTTTACTCTTGGTGTTGTATACACTGTACATTTAGACAAGTATAATGACATGAATCTACCCTTTTAGTATCCTACAGAGTAGTTTCACCTCCCTAAAAGCGCTCTGTACTCTACCTCCTCGTCCCTCCCACCTCCCTTAACCCCAGGCAGCCATTGGTCATTTATTCTCCATACTCATGCCTTTCCCAGAATGTCATATGGTTGGGATCATAGAGTATGCAGCCTTTTCCGACTGGCTTCTTTCACTTAGTCCTGTGCATCAGTTTGCTTGTGTCTCCTAAGTCCCTTAGACTTTTTTCACTTTTGTTCGTTCTTTTTTACGTACTTCTGACTTGGTAACTTTAAATGAACAGCCTTTGAGTTCACAGATTCTTCTGCTTGATTGAGTCTGATGTCGATCCCCTCTAGTGAATTTTTCAGTTCAGTTTTTGTATTCTTCAGCTCCAGAATTGCTATTTTTTTAATATATAGTTTTGATATCTTTGTTATCTTACTTTGTTCACACATTGTTTTCTTGATTTTGTGAAGTTACCTGTGTTCTCTTGTAGCACATTAAGCTTAAGATGATGATTTTAATTCTTTATCAGGTAATTCATAGATCTCCATTTCTTTTTGGTCACTTCATGGAGAATTATTTTGGTTTCTTTGATTGGGCCATGTTTCCCTGTTTATGTGCCTTGTTATTTTTTAATGTGATTTTTGCATGTGAGAAAATAGCCGCCTCTGCCTATCTTTATAGACTGGTTTTGTACTGGGGTAGATCTTCACCAGTCATCCCAGCTAGAGTTTCTGGGGGCATCTCAAACTTTCTATGGGAATGTGTCATCTCTGTACTTTCTGTGTGTAATCCAGCCCCCTCCTTACTCCAGGTTTGACAGTTCTTTTTCAGGATGTTGTAGTCTCTTGCTCTGTCGGGGGTCTGAGGTATCGTAGGTTCTCTGGCGCTGCGATAACCCACAAGCTTTCTCGTGCTCTCAGGGGCCCCCAGGCATCCAAAGCATCATGCTTTGAGTCAGGCTAGACTGAAGCCAGTCTCTTGGGAAGACCCCCCCAAACCTGGAACACTTGATTGTTCTGTTCTTCTCATTCCTTCCAAGGGAGAAGCTGTGAGGTGGGCTTTTCTTCCCAATCATGAGCTATGCTGGCATGGGGGAGGGACTGACATCGTTGAAATGAAACCTCTTTTCTTACCCATTTCAGTGCTCCTGTTCTTGGCTTTGAGATTGTCTCGGAAACTGTGACTTCCTAACTGGAGTTTT